TATCCTTTTGATGTCTAATCTTTTTGTTCAAAGTATAAGACAAGCTAGTATTGTAACCCAGACACCTAGGCTATGTCTATACTGCACCTCTCTTCTGCAAAAGCTTGTGAGCTTCATTTGCATAATTAATTAGGGACCATTTTTGGACAAGAGGCTTTTGCACAAAAGGAGTTGTGTAGACGGCTCCTTTTTGCACAAAAAACCCCTCTTGCGCAAACCTCCTACATTCTTTTGACACATCCAGTGTTCTGGGGGGAAGAGGTAGAGGAGTTCTTATATTTCCATAGGTATAATAAGTGTATTAAGAATTGTGTGGCCTAAATAGGTGCATTACTGGTATCATGATCAGACAGAGTGCTGATCAGCACCCGGTAACTAAGGGGTTAACTCAGATACCTAGCAAAGGTGTCAGCTTCAGGCAATCAGCCAATAACAATGCAGGTAGGAATTTCAAACTGGAAAAGAGGGTTTTTTCTCTCTCTCTTCTTTGTTTGAGATCAGAGCAGTTTCTCAAGCAGGGAAAAGTATAGATAGTTCATCAGGGTTTATTGGTTTCCTTGTTTGGGGGTTTGAAAATCATATCCGAGCTGGTTAATTGTTTTTCTCTTTTGTAACTAAGGATTATAGCCCAGGGACTTTCCCTGAGTATATATCAAATTGTGGCTATTTACCATCTAGCCAAATTACTATGCTTGCAACAGTAGTTTTGTTTTGATAATAAAAGGATGCATCTAGACTGGCAAGATTTTGCGCAAAAGCAGTTGCTTTTGAGCAAAAACTTGCCAGCTGTCTACACTGGCTGCTTGACTTTGCACAAGAGCGCTGATGTTCTAATGTAAGAATTCAGTGCTTCTTGCACAAATACTTTGATGCTCCCACTCAGTGATAAGCCCTCTTGCGCAAGAATACTTGTGCAAGAGGGCCAGTGTAGACAGTCAGCTTAATTTTTTGCGTAAGAAAGCCCAATGGCTAAAATGGCCATCTGGGCTTTCTTGCGCAAAAGCACGTCTATACTGGGCACGGATGCTTTTGCGCAAAAGCACTTTTTGCGCAAAAGCATCCGTGCCAATCTAGACACTCTTTTGTGGAAATACTTTTAACGGAAAACCTTTTCCGTTAAAAGTATTTCTGCAAAACCATGCCAGTCTAGACTCAGCCAAAGAGTTTTCTTTTAATTCTAATTAACTAATAATTGGTTGGTTGCTGTGTCCTTAGGACTAAGTGCGTAGTTATAAGGGCAGAGTCCATTGTGGTCTGGATTTCCTCTGTTTTTCCCAGCTCCAAGAAAAAAGGTGGTTGGGGAATGGGGGAGAGCTTTACAAACACAAATACAAACACACATAACAGGACAAAGCTCCTCCTTAGACTTATTTGGCTTTGGGCAGAAGACTGTCAGAAATATGTCCTGGCTCATGTGAAACTGCAAAACCATCTTGGTCAGAAGAGCCAAATATGATCACAATTGGACCTTGTCCTTAAAAACACTGTGTAGCTCAGATGTAAGTGCCCTCATCTTGGACACTCTTTGGGAAGAAATCATAACCATCAGGAACATCTCCTTCCAGGGGAGCAGGAGAAGGGAACAGGATGCCAAGGTTTCAAAGGGGGCCTTCATGATCAGCGCAAACACCGGATTCAGGACCCACAGAGGGACTGGTTCCTGTACTTGAGGGTAGAGCTACTCCAGGCCTTTCAAGAATGGGGCACCATGCTGGAAGACTAATGGAATGGAAGGTGAAAGGCTGATATAGTGGCCAGGTAGACTTAATTGAAGAATGAAACAAAACTTGGATCTTGAGATATGTAAAGTAATACAGAATCAGACACTGTGAGGCCTGCTCAGGCCTAATGTTACAGACTGAAACTCAGGCATAAAATGTTTTCATTTTATTTTGTTTGGGGGGGTTTTGTGTGAATCTCAGAGGGACTGAGATAGAATAAGTTTGTCTCTGGGAATCATAGAGACAGAGTTTATTCAGTTAGCCAGCCCATCCATCTCTTCACGCATAGTCTCAGGTTGGGGGATTGAGCCATGATAACTGGTAACACCAGCAAAGTTGCAGGGAAGGACAGTATTTCCACACTTACTATGCCTGGATTTAATGCTAGAAAGAGATTTCCTGTTAATTTTAGCCACTTTGTTGCTCCAGATGAGCTGAAGGATTTCTGACATCTTATGGGAAACTTTTACTGGGAGATTTTAGAAGAGGAAGGTGATCCTTATTAAAGTTGCCAAACCACACTATAATCATCTCTTGCCTTTCAATAACTTTTTAATTTTTTTCTGCAAGTATAGATAGTTGGCTTCATATAAAGTTATTAAATGGAAAATAGCACTGAACACCATGTACTTTTATATGTAATGTTTAGCTAATTTAAATTTAAAATTAATTTGTAGTGTCATCTGGCATTGCTCTTTAAGGCCAATTGACAAGACTTTCAAGTTTTCATAATTAATTTTAAAACTTACTATCTCCCTAAAATACATTCCTTTGAAGGATTCTGCAATCATGAATAGGACTTCATCCATAGAGAATGCTATTTTATGGATCAACATCTTTATATTTAAATCCTGTCTATGATTTTTTTTTTCATTTTCTGTGCAAATGGTTTCTTGGTTAATATAAGCAAGGTGGAGAACAGTGGACAACCTTGCCATATGCTATAAAAAAATGAGAGAGGCTATGAATACTTATTATTGAGTCTTACTTTAGCTTTTATAGATTGATATAAGACTTCAGTCATTTTTTTAATTTTACTTTCTAGAGCTAGTGACTTCATAAACTTCCATTCATCTTGCTCATAGATCTTTTCCACATCTAGTGACAGTAACATACGTGATCGCCTTACTTTTGATAGTCTTGACTGGATTACCACTTGTAACCTATAAATGTTATCTAATAACTGTCTTCCCTGATTAAATCTCATTTGATATATACTAGTTATTTTAAGCATAAATGATTCTGTCAACACCTTTGTAAAACTCTTAAATTCTATATTTGACCTTGAGGCATGCATCTGTGAAGTACATTCAATCTTATGTCTTTGGGCTTTTAAAAATACAGAAATATTGACTTCTTTCTTAATATATGCTAATGTTTTGAAGTCCTGAAAATTACTTACAAGTCTGTGGGGGGGATGGTAAGTCAAAGATTTGTACAATTTAACTGAGAACCTTTCCATACCAGGTATTTTAATGATTGATCTGACTTCCTCAAATCCTTCCTGCAGATGTTGAGGTATAACTGGGAGTCCAGCTTCTCCAGTGTAAGAACTTGTCTGACTGTGCATCTCGCTATTGCGTTCTCTGCTACCAAACACAGTATTCTTTTCTTTTTCTTGTCTTAACCTATATGCTGAATTGTTATGGCCCTTATTTTTCATCCCTTTATACTTTTGTTTAAATTGATATACAACACATTCTCTTTTAGCTAGCACTAGAACAAAACATTGTTCTCTAAGGGAGGTAGGTATAGCCAACTTTTTCCTTGAATCTGTCTTTTTATGCAACTTCTTTAATATTTTTATCTCAGGGAGAAGAACCTTGTCTTTTGTATTTTTTTCCCTGTTAATTCCACAGACTACCTCAATTAATTGCCCCCTCAGTACTGCCTTATAAATCTTCCATAGTGTATTGGTATGTAAGTTTCCATTTTTGTCATTATTGAAAGAAATTTTGTTTTTGCTAATTACAGTATTCCATACTATAGGGTTTTTAAATACTGAATTATTCAATTCCCAGTTACTGAGCCTTTTATAACCAAACAAATCTCTAAATGTTGTCATGATAGGAATAGGGACTGAGTACATAAGCTGACCTCTCTTTACCTCAGTCAGAAAATTCTTTAAGCAAGAAGGCAGAGATGTATAATCTATTTGCATGAATAGCAAATGGAGATATGAATAAAACAAATAATTCCTCAGTAATGGCTTCACATTCTTCCATGAATCTAGTAGACTCAGCTGGAAACTATTTTGTTTCAAATATGAGCAAAGGGAATTGTGTTCCTCTTTTCTATTGTCTGAGCTATCAACTGTAGGATTTGAGGTAAGCTTTAAATTTCTCTCAGCAATGAGATTCCCAGGAGAAAATGTCAGGAAAGGAAGAATAGCACAAAGAAATACTCTTTGTCCAGTGTTAGGACACAAGGTAATAATTCTGCCCAGTACATTTCCTTTAACTGTTATGAATTTCTTCATCTTAACACCATTTTACTTCAAGTTGAAATCTTTTAGTTAGGAGCCTGGCCAAAAAGGTGGTGTTTCAATGGAACACCACACTTTCTTGTATTATTATTTAAAACAAAAATGTCATTCTTATGTCAGCTTGAGAGACAGAGGGTGGAGAGGCCTTTTTATCCTTTTCTGGTATGTCTGAAGTCAGACAAATTCTATACATATATCCCAGATATGCTTGGAAACCACTTGATCATGACAGTCCCTTGATCTCTTTTTGCTACTTATAGGTTTTCCAGTGAGAAGGGGATGATCTGGTGAAAATCTCTTACGATTTTCATACTCTTTATATGATGAAATACCTCAAAAATATGTTTTCTAATGTTTGGATTAGAAAAAGAAAGAACACCCAGATAGAACTACTTGGTTGCAGAGTTTGCAATACATTTGACAGGGGAATCTCACAGAAGATTCAAAAATGGTTCTAACAATTTCTCTACAATGTGACTTCCCTTCTTGGAAAATAATCAGGCACTCTGATAAATGTAACTGTTTTTCCTTATTATAATCTCTGTATCATCTTCTCCCAATATATTAGTAAATGTAATTGTTTCTAATTTCTTTGTTCATCCTGATTACCAGACCTCCCCAACACTTATTATGTAGTTATGGTTGCTCTGCATGTTGCTCTCCCATGGTTCCTGTTTTATTGCTTTACTCTGAAGTTATCTCTGAAAAGTTTAAAAAAAAAAAGATATTAATACAATTATCACTGTCTTCCTTGCCTAAGAATAATCCTGCCACTTAATTTCAAATGTACTCACTGTTGCAGCCATCACTGCTACTAGTCTCAGCCAGGCCAGCACCATACTCTGTTGAGATGGCTCTTGGAATTTGGGCCTTCCTGACGATGAATAAATGACCAAAATAGGAGGCAAAAGAGTGATAAAGAAACACAGAATGAGAAAATATTGGTCAGAAAAGAGACAATATATGAATGATGCTTTCACTAACAATTTCACAACACTTTGCAACTTCAAAATACTTGACAAACTTTAATATTCAATACCTTAGGTACAGTCTACACAGCAGTGTTATTTTGGAATAACTGACATCTATATTAAAAGCAGTTATTTCAACATAATGTCAAAATAATGTTGAACTGGAGGACTTCTTACTCCAACTCATTTTATAAGGAGTAAGGGAAGTCAGAGGAAGAGTGCTGTCTCACACTTCCTGCTGTGTAGATAACACCAAAAGCCAAAATAAGCTATTTCGACTTATGCTGTGCAATTGATGTAGCTCAAGTTGCGTAGCTTATTTCGGCTTTAGCCCTGCTGTTTAGACATGCCCATTTTTTGTGAGAACAGTAAAGTATTTTAGAGGAGGAAGGGGCGGGGGGCGACAGAAGAAATTTGCTCACCTCCCCCCCACCCAGAATGCTTGTAGCTGCACCTGGATTAGACTTCACAATGTTTGAATCCCAGCTAATGTCATTGCTCATGGCTGCCTCTAAGGCTACATCTACACTGGCAGCTTCTTGCACAAGAACTCTTTTGCAAAAACTCTTCCACAAGAGAGCGTCTACACTGGCAAGTGCTTTTGCACAAGAGATGTGCTTTTGCGCAAGAGCATCCATGTCGGTGTAGACGCTTTCTTGCGCAAGAAAGTTCTGATGTCCATTTTAACCATAGGGGGTTCTTGCGCAATAAATTCATGTTGCCTGTCTACACTGGCCTCTTCTGGAAGAGCTCTTGTGCAAGAGGGCTTCTTCCTGAGAGGGAGCGTCAGAGTTCTCACGCAAGAAGCCCTGATTTTCTACAGTATAACGTCAGTTTACTTGTGCAAGAACGCGTGGCCAGTGTAGACTCAAGAGGCTATGTCTACACTGGCATGATTTTCCGCAAATGCTTTTAACGGAAAAACTTTCTGTTAAAAGCATTTGCGGAAAAGAGCTTCTAGATTGGCACAGACGCTTTTCCACAAAAACACTTTTTGCGGAAAAGCATCCGTGCCTATCTAGACGCGCTTTTGCACAAAAAAGCCCCGATCGCCATTTTCGCGATCGGGGCTTTTTTGCACAAAACAAATCTGAGCTGTCTACACTGGCCCTTTTGCGCAAAAGCCTTGTGCAAAAGGGACTTTTGCCCGAACGGGAGCAGCGTAGTATTTCCTCAAGAAGCACTGATTTCAGACAGTAGGAAGTCAGTGTTCTTGCAGAAATTCAAGCGGCCAGTGTAGACAGCTGGCAAGTTTTTCCGCAAAAGCAACTTGAAAAGTTGAAAAACTTGCCAGTCTAGACACAGCCAAGAGTGTTTTTGCTCAAGAGTGGCCATTTTCACACAATAACGTGCCCAGTGTAGACACAGCCTAAGGGTTTTAACATGTAATTGGTCATTATAATACAATTGTTACTAATTAGTAATTTAATTTGCTAACAAGCCCTTTCAAAATGCTGAGAAAAGGGATGATGTTTTAAACATAGCTAATTTTTGAAAAATTCAGTGGAGCTTTGAAAGCTTGTGTCTTTCACCAACAGAAGTTGATCCAACAAAATACATTACCTCATCATAATGTCTTTTTTTTTTTTTTTTTTTAAGACAAGACCGCTTTTCTCAAGGGAGAAATTTTCCTCCTTTCTGTCAAGTTTTTGTCCTCTGTTACCTTTGATTATTTCATACACTGTGTTGCCTTGATGGCTGTATTTCTAGATCTCGATGATTTAGATGGATGGGTCTGATCTTTTTGTTAATATACTCTTCTCACAATGGTAATTTAACCAGTCAATATGGCTACGTCTACACTGGCCCCTTTTCCGGAAGGGGCATGTAAATTTCACTAGTCGTCGTAGGGAAATCCGCGGGGGATTTAAATATCCCCCGCGGCATTTAAATAAAAATGTCCGCCGCTTTTTTCCGGCTTTTAAAAAAGCCGGAAAAGAGCGTCTAGACTGGCCCCGATCCTCCGGAAAAAGTGCCCTTTTCCGGAGGATCGGGGCCAGTCTAGACGCTCTTTTCCGGCTTTTTTAAAAGCCGGAAAAAAGCGGCGGACATTTTTATTTAAATGCCGCGGGGGATATTTAAATCCCCCGCGGATTTCCCTACGACGACTAGTGAAATTTACATGCCCCTCCCGGAAAAGGGGCCAGTGTAGACGTAGCCTAAGAGCTAATGATATCTTGTACTGTGAAAAAATGCAATAGACGATGAGGGGAGTCAGTTCGTGGGAGTCATGAGTACCCTGAGTTCTGTGTTTTGAAAACTAGTGCTTTTCATCATGACCATCTCTGATTTTTCTAATAATTATTGTGAGAAAATCAAGTGTAATATGTCAATGATTCACAAATCTATTGCCCCCTCTCTGCTGTATTTTTCCCCTTTACATTCTGTTGGGGGAATTCAAGTAGTAACATTCTATAAATTAACACAATGACAAAAACCCTTGCCTTGGGGGGACTAGATTCACCTCTTTTGCTCTTTTCTTGTATCTCTAGTACAGTCTTCTCTTGGAGTTAAGAAAGATTCCCAAGGGACTTGCACAGACATCTGAATAGCTCTTAGTGAAATCTGCCTTTTGCTTTTTTAGGGTATGTTTACACTGCATAGCTATTTCAGGTACCTCCAGTATCCCGAAATAGCCATCTCGCGTCTACACAAGCCACCTGTTATTTCGAAGTATTTTTCACCATCCCAGTGAACATTGTTTTATGAAGGTTAAGGAATGGCGCGAAATACCACATTATTTCAAAATTTGGCACTGTGTAGACGCACCAAATTTCAAAATAAGCTATTTCAAAATAGATTTGAAATAAGATACACAATTTGCGTAGCACAAACTCTGTATCTTATTTCAAGTTTAGGGTGCTGAGTAGATGCACCCTTAGGCCTGGTCTACACTAGGGATGTGAAAGTGTAACTGTGTACACAACCCATGGGCTCATCAGTTAACCTTCACAGTTACACACAGGCTCCTGATACATGCACTGGCTCCTGGGAAGCTACTTCCCTCCTCTTGTCTCCTTCTGCTGCCTCTGGATTTGATACTGAGGCAGCAGCATGGCAGGCAGGGGAGGAAGCAGCAGGTGGGAGCTGTTGCATGTGGGGAGCTGGCTTAAAAGCTGGCTCCTCACACTCTTTGGCTCCCGGTGAGCCAACTGTCCTCCAAATGTAACTGCTGAAAATTTCACTGGTTACATGTTTACTTAATTAAACACATTTTAACATTGAATTATAGAATCATAGAACACTAGAACTGGAAGGGGCCTTGAGAGGTCATCGAGTCCAGTCCCCTGACCTCATGGCAGGACCCTGTACCATCTAGACCATCCCTGATAGATGTCTATCTAACCTACTCTTAAATATTGCCAGAGATGGGGATTCCACAACCTCCCTAGGCAAGTTATTCCAGTGTTTAACCACCCTGACAGTTAGGAAGTTTTTCCTAATGTCCATCCTAAACCTCCTTTGCTGCAGTTTAAGCCCATTGCTTTTTGTCCCATCCTCAGAAGCTAAGGGGAACAATTTTTCTCCCACCTCCTTGTGACACCCGTTCAGATACCTGAAAACTGCTCTCATGTCCCCCTCAGTCTTCTCTTTTCTAAGCTAGACAAACCCAGTTCCTTCAGCCTTCCTTCATAGGTCATGTTCTCTAGACCTTTAATCATTCTTGTTGCTCTTCTCTGGACCCTCTCCAATTTCTCCACATCTTTCTTGAAATGCAGTGCCCAGAACTGGACACACTACTCCAACTGAGGCCTAACCAGCACAGAGTAGAGCGGAAGAATGACTTCTCGTGTCTTGCTCACAACACACCTGTTAATACATCCCAGAATCATGTTGGTTTTTTTGCAACAGCATCACACATATTCAGCTTATGGTCCACTATGACAGCGGCCTCTAGATCGCTTTCTGCCGTACTTCTTCCCAGAGAGTCGCTTCCCATTCTGTATGTGTGAAACTGATTGTTCCTTCCTAAGTGGAGCACTTTGCATTTGTCCTTATTAAATTTCATCCTGTTTACCTCAGACCATTTCTCCAGCTTGTCCAGATCATTCTGAATTATGACCCTATCCTCCAAACCAGTTGCAACCTCTCCCAACTTCATGTCATCTGCAAACTGAATAAGCCAATATGTAAGTAGTTGAAGATATTGAACAGAGCCAGTCCCTTTTTAATATATAAGGCAACACCTCCTCCCTTTTTTTCCCACCTATCCTTCCTGAGTAAGCTGTACCCTTCTATACCAATATACCAATCATGTGTATTATCCCACCAAGTCTCTGTAATACCAACGCTGTCATAATTGTGTTTATTTATTAGCACTTCAAGTTCTTCCTACTTATTACCCGCATCATATGTATAGTAGCCCAATGCCTGTGACTCTGTAACGCTGAAATGCTGGCTGTTCCCTCTGGGGGGCGCTGTTGCCTCCCACCATGATGCTTGGCTGACTTCTGCGCAGCTCAGCTGGGCCGCCTCGTGGGAGCAAGCATCGCAAGCGGCTGTTTGGGCCCCATGCTCCCCATGCAGCACTGGGGTACTGCATGGGGAGCGCAGACCCCAAACAGCCACTTGCACTGCTTGCTCCCACGCGGCGGCCCAGCTGAGCGGCACAGAAGTCAGCCGAGTGCCACAGCAGGAGGTGAAGGGCGTGACACATGCTCCAGGCCCCGCCCAGTGTTATTTGTTCCACAGTACTTATGTCTGTTACAGCAGCATGGTATATTCACACCCCTGAATGATATAAGTTACACATCCAGCCTGCTTAATTAGTACTTCTTCTGCTGTTAAATATTTATATCTGTATCATCTATATCTAGCTTGGTTTCAGTTATTTCCACTCCAATTCATCTGATGAAGTGGGTTTTAATCATGCAAGTTCATGATTCTAGATATATGTTTGTTA